TAAGAACGAAGCAACAACATATTATGTTGATATATTGCGTGCTTTCTTAGGAACAAAGCAATATAATATATTGATATATTGCGTTGTTCCTCAAGAACGAAGCAACAACATATTATGTTGATATATTGCGTCTTTCTTAGGAACAAAGCAACATAATATATTGATATATTGCGTCGTTCCTTAAGAACGAAGCAATAACATATTAAATTGATATATGGCGTGGTTTCTTAGGAACAAAGCAACATAATATATTGATATATTGCGTCGTTCCTTAAGAGAACGAGGCAACAACATATTAAATTGATGTATGGCGTGGTTTCGTGGGAACAAAGCAACATAATATATTGATATATTGCGTCGTTCCTTAAGAACGAAACAACAACATATTATGTTGATATATTGCGTGCTTTCTTAGGAACAAAGCAACATAATATATTGATATATTGCGTCGTTCCTTAAGAACAAAGCAACAACATATTATATTGATATATTGCGTGCTTTCAAAGCAACATAATATATTGATATATTGCGTCGTTCCTTAAGGACGAAGAAACAACATATTAGGCTATATTGATATATTGCGTGCGTTCTTAGGAACAAAGCAACATACTATAGCAGTCAGTTTTAATATAATATAATATACAAGGAAGCATTGAGAAGTAGCTATATATATATTCAATTGATGGACATTCCTTGGTCGTCAAATGTCCAATGGACATTTCATATGTCCATTGGACATTTCAAATGTCCATTGGATCCAATGGACCATTGGACATTATACTCATTCAGTATATCCAGGATGCCCTTTCCCGGTGGTTACAAAGTCCGGTTTACTCCATAATTGAATCCAATTGACACTCGAATACCCAATGGCCATTCGATATGTCCATTGGACATGCACATGTCCAATGGACATTTGAGTTGTCCATTGGATCCAATGGACAGTCATGTGTCCAATGGACATTTCATATGTCCATTGGACATTTGCGTTAGTATTGGACATGTATGATGGCAAGAGTCATTACACCTCTATTTATAATGTTTATCGTTCCGCTTGATTTCATCTGCTAATATAGAATAACAAGCCGGAAATTCAGTATGTTCATTGGCCGTGTTTTCACTAAGAGTGGAATGTAAAGCCTCTAAGAAAATCCTTTGTTCGTAGTTCTTAACTCCCTTTTCTAATATTACAGCGTCTGATTTTGCAGCGTTGTGACCAGTGCATTCAGCGTGTTCCTTTATTGTCGAAAAAATTCTCTTTCTAACTCCCGGTTTGTGTTCTAACCACCTTGTTGCCCAACATCTCTTTGATTCACCGATATATGTAAATGGACATTCTCTGCATTTGTATTTGTATACAATAGCTTTTGTTCTGACTTCTGACGGTCTTGCTTTGGGCTTGCGAAAAATATTCCCTAAAGTTAGTGCTGGTTTTAACGCGACCCGAACTCCTGCATTGGTTAAAATACTTTTTACTTTTTCCGAAACTCCGTTAACATAAGGAAGGCATGTCGATCCACGAATTTCAACGGAGTTTCGGAAAAAGTAAAAAGTATTTTAACCAATGCAGGAGTTCGGGTCGCGTTAAAACCAGTATTAACTTTAGGGAATATTTTTCGCAAGCCCAAAGCAAGACCGTCAGAAGTCAGAACAAAAGCTATTGTATACAAATACAAATGCAGAGAATGTCCATTTACATATATCGGTGAATCAAAGAGATGTTGGGCGACAAGGTGGTTAGAACACAAACCGGGAGTTAGAAAGAAAATTTTTTCGACAATAAAGGAACACGCTGAATGCACTGGTCACAACGCTGCAAAATCAGACGCTGTAATATTAGAAAAGGGAGTTAAGAACTACGAACAAAGGATTTTCTTAGAGGCTTTACATTCCACTCTTAGTGAAAACACGGCTAATGAACATACTGAATTTCCGGTTTGTTATTCTATATTAGCAGATGAAATCAAGCGGAACGATAAACATTATAAATAGAGGTGTAATGACTCTTGCCATATACTCTGATGAAGGCTTGCAGCTCGCAGCCGAAAATTTAGTTTTTAATTTTACTAGTTTTTATTTTAAATAAAATGTTTTTAACCAGATCAGCTATACAAACCTTAGAAAAGTTATCATGTATTCTACTGATCGCCTCAACAGCATATATATATATATATATATATATATATATATATATATATATATATATATATATATATATATATATATATATATATATATATATATATATATATATATATATATATATATATATATATATATATATATATATATATATATAGTCGTGTTTTATTATATTCTAAAATGCTCTTTCTATGCACTCGCATTTTAAATAATTATGAGTGTTTTCAATAGTACTTTAGTTTTAATGTGCGAGCATATAGATAGTGACAAAACCACTATACTGCAGGGTGCGATAATTCAAAATTTTTGCTCGTACCTGACCGGTACTCCAATGATTGTTGCCGCGTACTTGAGCTGGTACAAATTTAAGATTCGAGGTGTACTTAGTCTTTAGAATGAAGTACATAATGTATAGGTTTCTGAAAGAGATTCATTCAGTGACATGAAACTAGTACAGTGTTATACACTGTTATAGATCAAGGAGCACAATTGGATACACAAACACTACGATCGACTCTAACATTCCTTAGTCCCATCTCATCATATCAGTCCGATCATCCAGTCTTAGGCTTGGACAGATCAAGTGATACAAGCAAAAAGTTAAGTACGCAGATGAGAAGAGTATGGCGTATACCTATGAGGTGGTACGTAGCTTACAAAACAGAAGTATCAGTCCGTAATATTGGCGTATCTCCGCTACGTAAGTACGCGAATTATCGCACCCTGCCATAGAAAGCTGAACGCAGTTGAGAGGAATTCAACCACCTGAAAAATACAAGTCAAACTTCGACGTTTCGAAAGAAGGCCCTAATTATATAACTCTAATGCCTAATTAACTTTTGTCCTATATGCCATATGATTTTTTTGAACTAAAACAGTCACCCGTAACATAGTCCATCAAGATATGATGGTCTGGAAACTGAACAGAAGTCATTGTATAATTATTTTTTATCTGAGCTGTTTGTGTTAATTTGTGCACGGTCATGGTGATTGAGCTTATTGTATTTTCCGTATAATTAGGTAAATGTCAAATAGGGATATAGGTGACATGAAACCTGCAACCACGATGGATAACATTTATAAAGTTGAGAGAAAGGATTTGTGCACAGTGAGGTACAGTTCAATATGAAACAAAGGTTTTTTATTTTGTAGCTTTGAAGTTTGGCGGGCTTCCAGACCATCATATCTAAATTGACCCACTATGCTCGTAACTATAGGCATGTTACGTGAATTAGCTATAGAATAGAAAATCCTTCAAATAAATCAAATCGATAATAAAAATTACTGATACTAGTCGATTTATTTGCTGTTTAATTAAACTGCATGATTCTTCAAAGCCTGAAAACTGTAAAGATTTTTTACATGATCTCGTTCTTACAGACTTTTGCAAACCAGGATGGCATGGCAGCCGCGGGTATTGCTATTTATTCAAAGATGATGATCTGCGAACGTTCGAAGAAGCGAAAAGAAAGTGCGCTGCAGAGAATGCCGTTCTTGCCAAAGTTGGCTTCACCAATCCTTCCTTCCGGTCTTTTATGAAAAGAATTTGTTCAGATTGTCGTTCAATGTACGTTGGTGCGGAGAAGGTATATATGATTCATTTGTGGTAGTCTCGATGTGCCTAACAGGTTTTGTAATTACTGACCGCGCAATTGATGTAGTATTTAAAACACGAGAAGGAGTGTTTTATATTTATTTAAAATACTCATTAAAAAATTCATAAATCTTGTAGCAAAACATGTCAGCCATAACATGTCACGTGCAGTGACTTTATATCTGATAAAAGTCATCTTCATTAGTGTTCTTTATATAATTGTTCATTCTAATTAGTATGATTATATAATTGTTCATCCTAATTAGTATTCTTTTGTTGTCGTATTTTAAGCTATTCAAAACACTCGAACTTGCGTTTTATCACATCTATAAAACGCTCGCCCGCGCCTCGCGTTTTAAATAAATATAATATACGTGTTTCTCCATTCCACGGTTTGGTAATAACTTATCCCATATTTGTTGAAAGCGGCTTTCTAATTTGCTACCTGCGTTTCGTTATTACGACTAGGTTTGACATGTTACAAAAGTTAAAATACCAGTTTTACAGGCCGCGCATGGTTCATGAAATTTAACATGATTTTCCAATCGAATCGAATTCTTTCATTTGGAACTTGATTAACCAAGAGCTAAGGATGTCATGCCAGAAAACATGCAATTGGGAAAATTATTTGTAATAACGTGATTGTTAAAGATCTACAGTATAAGAGCTGGTTATATGAGGGTAAATATCAAGATTTTTGTGGCATCTCACTCGAATAAATAATATTTTACGGGTATTGTAGACGAAATTGACAAGTGGAAATTTATATACATCTATGCATGTTTACACCTATATTAGGGATGTATTATTAACTTTTTTGGCAGAAATTACACGTTTTCTATCCAATATCAAGCGATCATAATATCTATCTCCTCTGCAGGCGTGCCTGCATGCGGGCGACAAAATCAGGGAGTGTACACGCGGGCCGGACTGACAATTCAAACCTGCAAACAGGCGTACTTTGCTTTACGAAATTATAGAATCATTGCTGCCTATGGAATCATTGCTGCCTCTGGAGAAGTCTGCCTACATATTAAATCAAATATTACAATCAATTTAGAATGGTAACAAATGGAGTTGGTTGGATGATGACACGGATATGATTGGAACTCTATGGGGAGCTGCTGAACCTCGAACAGAGAACAGCTGTGCAGAATATAACACAGAATTACATGTCTTAACAACGTTAGCCTGCAACACTCCGCGTGGATACATGTGTCGTTATCAATGGTTATAATAATGTGCATTTATGGAATTTTCACGGACAGCTAGGTTTTCGCAACAGCTACTCTTTGACAATTTTTTTTTAATTTCACGCTTAATACTTGGTCTTGTCCATATGAGCACAGTTAACCAGAAAGCTAACATGTTGTGTGCGCGGGTTGAATTATTTCTTTATCCCATCTAATATTCCGCCTTGCGGTGGAACAATGTTATGTAACTATACCGTTCAATACTATACAGCCAATTCAAAAAAAGTTGTCATTCGCAAACCTTAAACTCTTAAACCTTGAACTCAAAGCGCGCAAAACTTAATTTCGCAAAACTTAAGTTTATGCTCCTTTGATCACTACGCACCTTCACTTTATCAAATTAACTTGAAATTATTCATTCAAAACATAATTATTTGTAAAATTTTGTATACATTTTCTTTGTTTTGTAAATAGTGCAGTTCCTGAATAAAATCTCTAATTGGGGCACAAGTTTCAAGTTTAGTAGTTGAATATTGCTGCTATTTGTGAATCAATTGTTCTCGTTAGGAGATATTTCCCATGTCTCTAAGAAATGGGCCATATATAATTTCTAAACTGATTAAATGATGCTCCCATTATTCTTTGCACGTTTAGAGTTTAAGGTTTGCAAAGAACAACCTTTTTTTAATTAACTGTGTATGATCAAGGTCAAAATTGGTAAAAATGTCCATTCTGGTAAGGTGGGAAAAGCTTCCAGATGGAAAATTTTATCGCACTTGACTGAGATCCCACCTGGCACTGTAGGTGAGATCTCACGTATAGCCGGGCATGTTTCTCATGTCACATAAATTGAGTTAGGTGTTCCATTCCGCAGCTATAGGTATATTTTGTATTTAAAATAGATCCCCAGTTAGCTATAATGCTAGTTTACACGAGGTCTACGCTATGGTATATTAAGTTATATATATATATATATATATATATATATATATATATATATATATATATATATATATATATATATATATATATATATATATATATATATATATATATATATGCGCATATTGCTCTCATGCTCTCAGAAGCTCTCATGCTCTCATGCTCTCATGCTCTCATGCTCTCATGCTCTCATGCTCCCAGAAGCCCTGGGAGAATCCAACTCAGAACGTGAGTTGATTGGTCAATGCGAATACAATGAAAGTACCAAAAATTATCCATTAACCCAAAAACCATGTCCAGCATATATATATATATATATATATATATATATATATATATATATATATATATATATATATATATATATATATATATATATATATATATATATATGAGTGTTCGCGGAAAATTTACATAATTGAGCGCCTTTAAAAATAGATCAAGCCAAGGTAGATAAAGCTTTGCTGGTTTTAATTTTCCTTATATTCTGTTATTTGTTGTGATTCTGCAGGGCCGGTTGTATCAAAGGCGTTTAACTTAAACGGTGTTTAGCCGCTATCCAGCGTATAAATTTCTTATCCAGCGGATAGTTAAACGGCCGATAAAATTGCGTTGTACGAAGCCCGTTTAGTACCGCGTTTAACTATCCGTAGGATAACCTTTAATTTAACCGGAGAAAACCGGATTTTCTTGAAATTTCCTACCTCTACGTCAGCTGTTGCTAGGCCTTTGTAAACTTTTGAAGCTTTATCAAACTTGTGAATTCCACTAAGCTTTTGCAATAAAGTTTGTTGTTGTTTTTATTTGGTGTTTGCTCGTCCATTCGTTGCTGCAAATCTATATCAAACTTTTCATTTTCACATTGTGCTGAGTTTCTCATTCACTTAAATTCACTTACGGATATTTCTTTAAAGATTTTTGGCTTCTTTAAGCGAAGAGTCGAAGGCAATAGCAAAAACTGTGAGTTGTATTTGGCTTTTGTCAGTTGATTCAGTTTTATACTGTTTGAAATTTGTTCCTCGACCTTGCACTTTTGTTCAAAACAATTTTAAGAACATTTTGTCCCAAGTTTTGATTGGCTGATCAAAGCGATTAACGCGAGCGAACATTTTTTTTCGACTTTCGGCGTCTTGTTGTCTATTTTGTATACTTGTTGGCTTTCCAAAGTCATTGTTTGTTTTACAATAGCTAAAAGTGGGAGTCTTACTGCTTGTTTTCAAACTATATAATAGAAGAAAAGAAGGAGAAAAAGCCAGAGTATATATACTTAACATCTAAACATGACACTGGTGTGCGTAAATATAGCAAAGCCACGGAATTTAATACAAGTGAGCAAGTGACCTCAGTGTACCTCAAGACCAAGCCAGTTAAAAGTGAGTTTTTCATGTTTATTGGATTTAAAAAGATAACTCCTCCACATGATTGTGCATTTTTATAACTATCCCATGCTTTTTCATCCGAAGTAATCATTGTTTTATCTTCAAACTCCGAGTTTATCCGCCGTATAGCGATTTAAACGGTCTCAAAGACCGTATAAGTTTACACAGTGGATAGGCAAAATTTAACCGGTGGATAGCCCTAAACGGGCTTGACACAACGCGATTTCTCGAGCGTTTAAATTTTATCCGGCGGATAGCGAGTTAAACGGTGGTTAGCGAGTTAAACGCCTTTGATACAACCGGCC